GGCGGCAGCAACCGGGCCAGGAGTTTAACCACGGGCTTGTGTTGAGCCGAGAACCCTTGCGCGACGGACGCGTCTTCACGGTCCGCATCGATCGCAAGGTGCGGAGCTGGGGCCGCGGAATCGAAATGTGTAGGGTGGTGGGAGGGGACCAGAGGGAGATGGGAGAGGACAGCCAGGGTAGCCCACATCACCGGGTACCGAGAGAGAACCGACAGACAGGACACCAGCTGATGGGCAGGAGAGGAGCATGAAACAGAAACATTAAGTTTCATGAAGAAAGAGACAAGGAGAGCTTAAGTTTCCTCAAGATCCAAGAGCAGGGAAGGGACATGGGGGCTCATTCACTATAATGACTAAGGAACAGACATCCTGGGAAAATTTCTGGGGGATGGAAGATGGAGACACATCAGACGTGTGACAGGGTAAGAAGACAGATAACCAAGAGAGGAAAAAAAACTTTGGAGGACAGAGTCACTGGTTGGGCCAGAAAGATGGGTGAACAGAGATACTGAGGGAGAAAGGTGTGTGTGTCTGGGCGTGATGTGTGACTGCGCAGAGATAGAATTTGAGAAGAGAGTGAATTTGAGTGGAGCCAGAGCCTAGGAGAGAATTAGGTCTGGAGGAAGAGAGTGGTCTGTAAGAGCCTGAATTTGGGTGGTCAGGGAGCCGCAGAGACCAGGGAAGTTAGAGGAGGCAGGGGAATTTAGCTATCGTGGTGGAGAAAGGCGTGGTGTCTTAGACAGTGAGCACCCAGAGTGCAGAGGAGAGTTGCTAGAGGAGGGCGGGCCCAACAATCCTGAGACCAGAGTCCAAAAAATTACTTGTGGGACTAGATCTCTGGATTGTGGTGCCTCATGTTGCAAGAGAAGGAAGCCAGTTAGCTGTCTGAAAGGTGGGAAGAGGGGGACATAGTGACCTGTGAAATGTGGTTTCCTAGAGGTGGGAGACCCATTTGTGGTCCATCCTGAGCCTCTGTCCACCACCCCATCACAGGTCAACTCCTGGAGTGGCTCCATTGAGATTGGGGTGACGGCACTGGACCCCAGTGTGCTGGACTTCCCAAGCAGCGCCACGGGGCTGAAGGGGGGCTCGTGGGTAGTGTCAGGCTGCTCGGTGCTGAGGGATGGACGTTCTGTGCTGGAGGAGTATGGTCAGGACCTGGACCAGCTTGGTGAAGGGGACCGTGTGGGCGTGGAGCGCACAGTGGCCGGGGAGCTGCGGCTCTGGGTGAACGGGCGGGATTGTGGTGTGGCCGCCACGGGCCTGCCTGCTCGGGTCTGGGCTGTCGTGGACCTTTACGGCAAATGCACCCAGATCACCGTGCTACCCCCTGAGCCAGGCTTCAATCCCCCTACTCCCATCCCCACGCCTCCCCTTGAGCCCTCTGCCCCACCTGAAGATTCTGCCTTGGCTGAGCAGGGAACCTCTGGGGATGAAGGTGAGAACACATCTAGGGCAGTGATGGGGATAAGGGAATGTCTGCAGGAATGGGGGAGACATAGTGACAAGTGAGGCTGGGTGTGGGCAGGACCACTCAGACCCCAGAGTCTGTTGAAGGGGGGAGAGCTGGGGCTAGAGGAGGGGGTCTCCTGGCTGTGGGCCTGGCAGCAGGGGCTGAACCCTTATTCCCCTCCCATCCCACCTGGTCCCCAGCCTTCATGGTGTCCCCAGCGCAGGCCCGGCCGGAGACGTTTCCTAACAGCCTTGAGTCGCATAATGGTGAGGGCTCTGGGGAGGCCCTGGGAAGGGGAGCGGGACGTGAGGTGGACAGGGAGGGACCTCAGGAGAGGGGTAGGGAGTGAGCAGCAAGCTTGGGGGTGTAGAGCCTCATTTCTTTTTTCCTTCCTCCATTCTGCTGCCTAGACTTTGCTGGCATGGAGCTCTCCGAGGTGGTGAGCAACGCCATCCTGTCTGCCTACAACGGGGGGCTCCTAAACGTGAACCTGAGCTCCCCCCCAGCAGGGGGAGCACCAGGGCCTAGCGGTGCTGCCACGTCGCCCATCCTCACGTCCAACGATGCCCTCCTTTTTCACGAGAAATGTGGAACCCTCATCAAACTCAGCAACAACAATAAGACGGCTGAGCGGCGCCGGCCCCTGGATGAATTCAACAATGGGGTTGTCATGACCAACCGCCCACTCCGGGACAATGAGATGTTTGAGGTATGCCGGATCCTGGGGTCTGGCTGGCACCTCACCCTCTGGGAGCTAAAGATGGGGCTTGATCCTTGATGCTGGAAAGAGGGGGTGACCTGGGGAAGGCCCAAGGGATGAAGGTCCTTTCTCTGCCTTTACCTTCCCCGCCTCTCCCTTCTGCTGTCACTCCACCCCAGATCCGCATCGACAAGCTTGTAGATAAGTGGTCGGGCTCCATTGAGATTGGTGTCACCACCCACAACCCCAACAATTTGGAGTACCCAGCCACCATGACCAACCTACAGTCAGGTACCAGCCCCTAGCAGGGTGGGGGCACAGGCCTGTGGTCGCTGAGGTTTCCAAGGGAGCCCGTACCCTAACCATGGTGTCCGCTCCCCCCAGGCACCATCATGATGAGTGGCTGCGGGATCCTGACCAATGGCAAGGGCACCCGCCGCGAGTACTGTGAATTTGGTCTGGATGAGCTGCAGGTGAGGGTGCGGCACAGAGCCTGGGCCACTCTCCAGGGGTGCCTGGGTACCGCGCGTCCCTGCCTGCGTACCACGGTCTCTGACCTAGAGCAAGGCTCTTTATCTTTTGCCTGAAGCTTCCTTCTGATAAGGCAGGGTTGCCCAACAGTTAGGCACTCAGATTTTGGACTCAGATGGGTTCAGTTCTTTTCGTTAGGCCGCTTGTATAGTGATCTGAGGCAAGAAGCCTATCTTCTCTAGTAGTGTTTTTCCCTTTTTATTGTCTAGAAACAAGCTTGGTGGTAGTATTCGCCAGATCATCAGGAGTGTTAACAAGTTGTAAGGTGGTTTAACACCGTATTTGACTTGCATTGAGCATTCAGAGTGGTCTGAGACTCACGGGAGCCTTTTAGAGCTGTTCTCCTGTCACGTAGGGTAGTGGGAAGGCTCTGGGACCGCTCTGTTCTCACAGTTCCCAGGATGAATCTGAAACCTTGTTATTTTTCTGCTTTGAATAGGAGGGCGACCACATTGGTCTCACGAGGAAGTCCAACTCTGCCCTCCACTTCTTCATTAATGGCATCGATCAGGGTAAGGGGAAGCTCAGAGAGGGTCTCTGGGCCAGGGCTTTCGGACAGGGGGAGCTATATCTTATTATCTTGTCTGTTTGGCACTGAGTTTCTTGTTTTTGACTTTTCTCCCCTTATCCCCCCATTCTCTGTGTCTTCCACCCCTACAGGCGTGGCTACCCCACTGACACCCCCAGTGGTGTACGGCGTGGTGGACTTGTATGGGATGGCCGTGAAGGTGACCATCGTCCACAATAACAACCATAGTGACCGTCTGCGCCGGAACAATGCCATCCTGCGGGCACTTTCCCCCGAGGGTGCTCTCCGCCGTGCTGCTCCTGCTGCCCAGGCGGAACCCGAGCGCCTGCTCTTCCACCCCAACTGTGGGCAGAAGGCAGCCATCACCCACGAGGGACGCACGGCCCTGAGGCCCCAGTATGGCCCATGGGGTGGGGAGAAGCCTGGGAAGGGGCTCTGATGGGATTGGAGGGAGGGGTAGAGAAGTGGGAGGCAGAGGGTGTCTGGTCTGGGGTATCCTGAATGGAGGAGTGGGGACTCTCCTGGACCACAAAGTGTAGCTGGTTGATTTGGGGCAATGGGTGTCAGGCAGGCCTGGCTGGGCTAAGCTTTGGCACACCCAGTGTGTGTGTTGGGCTCTGAGTCCCCACTTGCCACGCCCTCAGTGCCACCGATGACTTTAATCACGGCGTGGTGCTGAGCAGCAGAGCCCTGCGGGATGGAGAAGTGTTCCAGGTGCGCATCGACAAGATGGTAGACAAATGGGCTGGCTCCATTGAGATCGGCGTCACCACCCACAACCCTGCCTACCTCCAGTTGCCCTCCACCATGACCAACTTGCGCTCTGGTGAGTCTTTTTTTTTTTTAACATTTCTTATTGATTTATAATCATTTTACAATGTTGTGTCAAATTCCAGTGTTCGGCACAATTTTTCAGTCATTCATGGACATATACACGCTCATTGTCACATTTTTTTCTCTGTGAGTTATCATAACATTTTGTGTATATTTCCCTGTGCTATACAGTGTAATCTTGTTTATCTGTTCTACAATTTTGAAATCCCAGTCTATCCCTTCCCACCCTCCACCCCGCTGGTAACCAGAAGTCTGTATTCTCTGTCTGTGAGTCTATTTCTGTCCTGTATTTATGCTTTGTTTTTGTTTGTTTGTTTTTGGTGAGCTTCTGAGAAGGGCAGGGCCAGGGTAGGTCTTATGGAGGGGGCTGTCCCCAAAGCCCTGCTGCTTGGTCTTTGGCCCCTCTTTCACTTGTCACACTTGTGACAGCCACTCATTTAGTGCCAGAGGAGTGGCCCGTGGACAAGGCCTGTGGCTGGCTGGGGAACTGCTCTGGGAAGAAAGCAACTGCCAAAGAAAAGATAGGCTGGGCTAATGGCTTTGGGGAGTAACGGGACCACTGCATAAAGGGAGGAGCCCTGGCTCCCTCCACATACCCTTTGCCACTCCTTGTCCCCCTAGGGACCTGGATGATGACTGGGAATGGGGTGATGCACAATGGGACGACCATCTTGGACGAATACGGGCACAACCTGGACCGGCTCAAGGTGGGAGAGTTGGGGGCACCGCCAGGTCTCTGCAGCGGGGAGGTAGGCAAGGTGGGGCTGCTGCAGGACCAGCCCAGGCAGGAACTCTGCCTGACTCCTCACTCCAGCCCCGCTTCTTCCAAGGCAGGGGACACGGTGGGCGTGGTGCGGCGGGAAGACGGGACTCTCCACTTCTTTGTCAATGGGATGACTCAGGGCCCTGCTGCCTGGAACGTGCCCCCGGGCGTCTATGCTGTCGTCGATCTCTATGGCCAGGCGGCCCAGGCCACCATTGTGGACGACGTGGGTGAGGGCCATACTGGGCAGGGGCAGGGATGGCCTTGGGAGGCCTCAGAGACAACTGTAGATCTAATGGATGATGTCCACTCTTGCAGAGGTGCCCCCGGTCCCTGAGCCACTCCCTGAGGGGAACAACCAGGCATCTCCAAGCTCCCCGTCATCAGGGGCCGGGGGCTCCGACCTCCGCTTCCACCAGCTGCACGGCAGCAATGCAGTCATCACCAACGGGGGCCGCACCGCGCTCCGCCACAACTGCCGCAGCGAGTTCAATGACGCCATTGTCATCTCCAACCGGTCAGTGTCCGGAGAGTCATGTCCCTACCGTCTTACTGCCTAGGGTCAGCCACCCCAGTGGGGCCTGTCTGATGGCCACTCTCCCTGGCAGGGCCCTGCGGGATGGAGAGCTGTTTGAAATTGTCATTCAGAAGATGGTGGACCGCTGGTCAGGTTCCATTGAGGCTGGTAAGGGGCGTGTGTGTGTGTGTGTGTGTGTGTGTGTGTGTGTGTGTGTGTGTGTTGCGCGTCGACGCGTGCTAGTGGCGTGGACTACTACGAACCGACGGGTCGGGTAGGGGGTGGTCGTCCGTTCGGTCCTTCTACGTGGACGG